TATATATATTATTATTTATTAGCTACCTTCACTAATAAAGTTTAGATTCAAAAAATAAAAATTCCACATGCCTTCAATTAAATTTGCCAAAAAAACAAATTATTACATTTTGTAGAAAGAAACACTAAAATCAAAGGCAAACGATTTACTGGAGTCTAAAAGTATTTTAAAAATTATACGACAATTTAATTTAACTGTTATTGAATGTAGGTAACATTTTTTCCCTGAAACGCGAGCTGTTTATCCATTCGTTTTAAAAAATGTTGGCGTTAAAATTAAATAAACAGGAAGCGATTTTTGTATTTTTTTTTGTTAGAACAGTGATAATTATTGAGTCTATAAAATATGCTTACGAGTCAAGCATTAAAACGCCTTCAAAATAGTTCACTTGCGACATTCTAGTACATATGAAAATTCCCAGTAGGATTTGAAAAACGAACACATCTTCTAGCAGGAAAGTTTCGGCAAGACCGGGTTGGTTTGGTGTTCGGGGGAAAGGAGCGGATGCTGCGGAAGGTCGGGTCAAGGTCGACAACGGCCAATCTATTGATCCCTGGCGACGACGCCACTGCCGCCGCGGTGTTCCAAGCACACAGCGTACTCACGTGGTTGAGATTCGTCAGGTAGTAGTTGTAATTAAAGCACGAGATGCATCGGTTAAATGAGATAAAAAAAAAATCATAAATAAAAAAATGTAAACAAAAATCCGGACTCGGAGTCCGGTTTATTTTTAGCGACTAATTCCATTTTGGCATGAGAAGTACAAATGGCATTTATCGAGTAAATCTAATGTAGATCTCGACCATTAATAGACGGTCATCAATTACAACCGCCCAGTCCGCATTGTATTTATATCGGATTTTATTAACAAACAGTAAAATGCAAAGGAAATTGCCACCGTTTCCCACAAATTACGTGAGACTATGGATAAAGCGCTTTTGTGCTGCTTGAATTAAAGCAGACAATGAGCAGCTCGAGTTCTATATTGGCAGCAATTACGTTTTTTTTTAGAAGACTTACCGAGTTCGTGGTCTAGCGGAGCGCGTCTGGAAGGTGAACTTCTTGGAGCTGGTGGCTGTTTGAGAACGGCTAATGGTACAAGTCCCTCGGGAACTGACGAATCATGATCTGTTCCTCGTGTGGGCATTCGAACTAAACAATAATCTGGCTTCGATGAACATACTTCTACCACTTCAACTTGCTGGCCCTTCGTCACGCTCAGTTCTTGAGGACAAGTTGCTGTGAAATCGCTGACTACCCATGTCATTTCTAACACACCGGCCTGTAATGAAAGCACAAATTATTTCATACTCGGTCTAGAAAATATAAAGGGTGCGTCAGAAATCGCGCCCCAGAGAAAAATGCCATATAAGGTAAGATACCAGGAACATGAAAAAAATGTTATCTATAAAAATTTCGAAGTTTAAAGTTTGCACTTTGACTCTATTTATTTCTGTTGTAAAAATAATTTTCCAAGTTTTTTTGCTATAAGCTATTAAAAGAGGAAACAAGGAAGCTGTATCCTAAATTGTAACTCTGTACAATGTTATTTGTGGCTTTTATTGGCAAAATTTTTGTCCCTTTACTAAATAATTGTAAAAAAAACATATTCAAGATCATCAGTATCCTTAAATAGATATAAAAAAATGTCAAATGTCAAAAAATAAATGTCAAAATTTTTTGACAGATAGAGTTTTTTAAACATTTTTTTTCTCTGGGGCGCTAGTTCTGGCGCACCCGGTATATTTCAAGTTAAGGCAAGCAGGAAGGTACTTTTTACAAAAATTTTTACATCCATTTCCACTTATCTTATTGTAACGCCTTTTAAAATTCTTGCATGAAACGCTGTTTTAGTAAACAGGTTATTACTTTAAACATTTACAATTTATGAACTTCACTATATTGCAAAGTTTTATTTTGAATAATCTGAAACGCCGACTCTATAATTAGATCAGATGAAAGAAAATTTGCATATGCAATATGTAAGCTACAAATCATGTAAGATGCTTAAGACTAATAAGAAAAAATCAACATAAATTCCAAAAATAGTAAAGTGGCCTCATTGAAATTCAAATGATCTTATTTTAAGAATTTCATTTATATTTTTGTTTTCTCACAAAAATGCCTAAAATTCCACATCAAATTTTGTAATTTTTTAATACCAATATTCCAAACTACTTCTTATTGGATCCTCTTGGTATGGAAATGATAAACAAAAATACCAAACTTTTATTTCAAACTGATTAAAATTTGCTAAATGCAGGCAATTGGCACGTTTGTTAGTTGAACTTTTAAATCTTGTTGAAATATTCGAAAAATAATAAAACAAAGAAAAATCGCAAATTATTTCTTGTGTTAATGTGATGCATGTTTTAAAAAGCAGTAACTCCTAAGAAATAAAAAAAGACTTGTTTTACTCGTATTATTGATTAATATTAAATGTACAAGGTAGTACAAGCCATAAAAGTTTATGGAGAAAAGGTACACAAGTTCGCAAGTTTTGTTTGAATTAAAAATATTTTTAGTATTTCTTTTGAAAGCCGGTGTGTTGTTAACACCGTAACCGATGTGTTACCCTTCACACGACGCTTAGATTTTATGCAAGTGAGGAAAATCACTCTCATCACCTGTTGAGTTGGTAACTATTTCCCATATTGGCTGCAAGATGACATCATTATGAAACTAAATTCATAATTTCCGATACGATCGCTGCAAACGTTTTGGGTTTAAAATTTTCACTCTAATGCCAATTAAAATCTGCTTTTTTTTACAAATTGTGATTACAATTTTCACTTTTAAATCCCAATAATACACAACAGTTTGTAATTTTAGCATCACATGACAGTTAATGTTGGTAATTATCAACACTAAAATAATCAAAAATTGAATACCATCCGTAGTACACAAACAATTTTTTTCCCGACTATCTCGTGGTTGAGAAGTGTAGAGCTTTTTGCGTAATGATGCAATAATAATCTTAAAGAGTTCTTCTTGTCATTAAATTATTATTGGTTATGATTAGATCTTTTTTCAGAATAAATTTAGTGAAAACCGAAAGTAAAAAAACAACAATTTTGCTGATGTAGTTTCACAAGTAATAAATAGAATGCACAGACAATTAGAAATGTGGTCATACGAAGATATCAATTTTGTACGAATTATGTGGATGGCGCTTATGGAGGCGATACAGGCCATCGATTCGCTATAAATATCGCACCGTCCATTGACACATTCAATACTGACGGGTCGAGGCTTTAGACTCAGATCGCTTGTTCACGAGTATAATTGGGTTTCCTAATTACCATTATGGTTAGTCGTGAAGCAGCTACTGTAGTTAACATCAATTCCAAAGTGCGAGGAAGGTGTTACAACACATTGATCAATTTATCTCATTCAAAATCATCATCATACAAAATGCTATTTCGATTTAATATTTCATATTTTGATTAAATAATGAAATTATTTCACCAACTTATTTTGACGTCCGTATATGAAACTGAATTTAACGAAAACTCGCCTGCATCGCTCCAAATTTCAGTACAGCTTAAATAAATAAAATTAATGTTGATTATTTCCTAAAATATGCAATTACGACAATTCGCAAATGTTAATGAAATCACTAAATAATAACAAAGTAGACACACATAAATTAGCACAAATGGCAAAAAAAAATATTTACACTGTGATAATGAACAAAACCAATGATATGAAATTAGAGAATTAGCTTATAGGCTTTTTCCTCCATTACACAAGGGTGGGTACGTAGAGTAAACAAAAAAAAAGTAGATACGGAATTTATTGATCCATGAAATAACTAATACGATAAAGGTTTTTAGCCTAGATGAAATATCACTAGTTAGTTTTATGGGTGTAGAGATTAATTAATACACCTACAAATTTTACCAACTAGATATTTATAGCCACTATTTCCTGAAATTCCAAAAATTCCATTTTGATAATAATGTTGTGCAACATCAATTAAAACGTGTTTAATCAGCATTTTAATAAAATTAATCGATCGGATTAATTATTTTCAACCGACAAAAGAAATACAATTTTCCACGAACTGGGGTGTACACAGTACATGTATGAATAACGAAGAAAATTAAAAACAATTAAAAGTGTAGTATTTTATACAGTTATTAATAGATTTAAATGAACTTGGCGTTTTATAGCTTTGTGATTTGGTATCCACAAAATAATTAATCTATTTTTATAATTAAAATGCTTGGTTTACGAAAAGAAAATATGCTAAATTAAATATGACTTCATGCATTGCGGTTAATCCTAAATTCATGCGGCAGCAGTTCTGGCAACATGTATTTTATTTTAACAACAATTTAATATTAAAACATTAGAAGAAAATCAAAAATAAATTGTTCTAAATCACATTTAGTAATACTGAGCAAATTTAGTTCAAAGTAACTATTATTTAATAAATTCGTAATCATTCAATGCAGATTAAAATTCTGCAAAAACAGGTACTTAATTACCATTATGTACAAAAGTGTAAAATAAAAAATATTTTACGCAGCAAATGAAGTTTATTTTTAATAGGCAGTATTGAGCTATTTTTTAAACTTTAAACTTGACCACATTTAAAAAATACATCCTCGAGAATGTCTTCTGATTTTTTCATTTTATCAGCAACTAAAATTCGGTTCAAAAGATAGAAAGTCAAATGTACTAAATAACTATTACAATTTTCCCCGATCTATATCTTAAATGTACTTAAATACCCAGAAATAAAGCTGATTTTGTAACCCAAAACAATGCAAAATGAGGTAGCTTTTGGTGCATTAATAATAAAGATAACAAGCCCGAAATCTATCGGTATGGTTAAGCTTTATTATTAGTAGGAATGTACATGTACATAAATATTATAATTAAAGATATCTCATACCGTCCACTCAATAATAAAAGGTTTTTGTGACACAGTGATAAACATTTTTTTTTATTTAATTAAAAACACAAATATGTAGAAATTAAGTTAAGAATAAATTTAGTAAATAGTACAAATGTTTCTCAACGTAGTGTTACAAATATACGTGACATTAATGCAATAATAATTTTAACTTTTAATAATGTACGTGAGACAATGTTTACTCCAAATGCATTTATCTGGGAGTTTGATGAATTACGTTTATTGCAAACGCAGATTATTTTAGTTAATTAAATTAGCCAACACCACACTTATGAATTAAAATAAAAACAAAAATAGAATTCTGTTTTTAATGCCTCGTTGAAATCACTTATGTCTCTTATAGTTTTACTATGCTTTCTACATTTACCTATAATTGTGAGTTAGCCAAGTGTTAAAACGTTTTAGTTTTATGGTTGTTAATAAAAATTTCAGATAAATGTGTCTGCTGCTATTTGGTAAAATAGATAATGTTAGAAAACAATTTAAGGTTGGGGTTATGTGTGTGTGAAAGAGTGTTCATCGAGTGTAAAAAATACAAATTCAAGCATATTGACCAGAGCTGATTGGCTGGGTTGCCTCCTGAGAAGCCGGGCTTGGAAGGAGCTAGGAGTATCGATAGTATGCTGCCTGGTGAGCGTGGGATGCGGCTGGGCTACCGACCCTTGTCTAAACCAGGGTAATGAGATCTTTCGCTTAGCCTTCTGGCTCTTGGGGACGACTCCGGTGGAGCTGCCGCTCGGATTGGACATGTCGAATGATTTGATGTCAAACACTGTTCAACATTGGCACACTTACGGTGTAAAACAGTTTTAAAACACAGCAGTCTTTAAGTTCAAGTTCAAATACACGAAAGCTTCTAAAAACGGAAAGTTAAATGTATCAAAAAACTTTTATAATTTATCCTCTATAAATATATAGTTTAAATACCCGTAAAGACGTGCGATATACTATGTAAGTGCATTACTAAGCACCAATAAATTTCCTGCAAGCTAATCCGATGGAAGTGGTTACTAATCTACTCAATTTAACTTCGAATCACAGAGCGACATACGAAAGACATTTTAATTGCGTTAGCGTTTTGCATTGCATGGATTCATACACTGAGTAGCTTTGGACTTAGTTATTAACGTGGATAGGTCCAGTGTTTTTTTTCCGCCAGGGCTGATAAGGATATAACGAATACAAAGTGATCATTTCGTCCGAAACACAATCATTAGCCGACAACAGATATCACATGGAAAGCCATCACATTGAAGCACTAAAAGCTCGACAGATTAATCAAAGCTGACTTTCGACCCGCAAACATACTGCACCATTCCGAAGGTGACCATAATCAAATTTCAACGAAAAATTCGCGGGTTTTTCCAGTGATTGTGCCGCCACAATTGAAGTCCAGCACACTTAATCGAGACGGAATGTTACATTGTGCTGTATTAAAACTGTCTTCAAAATACGAGTTTGAGCAATGACAGTCTGCGCTCGGGGACGGTCCCGGCAGCGAACTGACATCAGCGTAGCTCCGGCAGCCCGGGAGAGAAAAGCGCCGGTCCGGAATACTACAGGACACACATGCAAGAGAGCGGAACTCAATCATCTGTTATTAACTAGATAAGGTGTATCAGTTTACCATCCAAAAATTCGATACGCATGATCAAAACTCGGTCTACCGATAACACAATGGGGAAGGTTTTTAAAATTAATACCCGTAAACGCGTTACCGCTTACCGGAATGCAAGACCAAAGCCCGGAATCAAGCTTTCGGATTGTAGAACCGCACTTAAATGGATTGTAAGATCTCGACAAACAACTCCGACGTATTGACCGAAAGAATCGAAAATTCACAAAAAATCACCTATCTGGACACGAAATTGCCCGCTCAGATTTCGAGCAGAAGACAATAAAGATGTTACAAACATAAAATTACGAACACACGTCTTATCTTTTAATTTACTTCGGTTCCACAAACCATTTGATAAATAAATAGATTTTTATTTAATAAAGGCATCAGACATTTTAGAAAAGTGTATACTGACGTACGTACGCGTTTTTAATGACTTTAGAGAAAAAACAATTTCTGATAAAAGGCTACACACACTATTTTCAATAAGTACTTAGCTTCTACAGTGATCTGTTGCATACAGTTTATTAGGTGTAAAAATATGGTTTGAGAATAAAAAAAATGTCTTTTAACTACCCATAAACTGAATTTTAAAAGTCTACTATTTTAAACAGAAAAATATAATAAAATGATATTTTTTTTTTATAGATTTGTCCCAAAAATTATGTAATTGCCTATTAACAAAAATTATTAAAAGCCAATGAAATTCGGTATGCTAATTCTTTAAATATTTATATTAATGCGTTGCCTCTAACCTTCTTTATTTAATACAACTTTATTTTCAATTTAATCAATATTTAAAACAAACAGAATTGGCAAGCAAGAAAATATTTATGCGTTTCTCTTTGAAGTAAACCAAATCAAAGACCTCATATTTGAAAAATAATTCAAACTCGAGTCAATAATATTCCGAAAAAAATGTTTCAGCTGCAATGACATAATTCGCTAAAAATTACGCTTTCCATTCCATTTGCTTGTAAATTACATCGTTAGCTAATCACATTACAAAACAAAATTAATTTTGTTAGACATGAAAGGAAACATTGATTAAAAGTAGGGCTTTAACTGATCCTTGTTGTACATTTCCGGTTTATAGACAATTTGCTTATTTCCTTGAAGGTTAAATGGATAAGCATCAACGATCTTTAACAGTCATAAACGTTAAAATAACGATCGTCATTTGGATTAAGATATCTACCAATCACAAACTAACTGCTAAATAACACGCACAATAAGACTAGAAGCTTAATTTAAAAAGCAAATTATTATAAAGACGCTAAAAAGTGTAATTAAGTTTAGTTCGCAAAGCGAAAGAGAGTATAAGAAAAATATTTTCGCTGCACATCTGTAGGACAAACTTTTAAAAGGCTTCCAGTGCAAATACAAAGTTATTTCAGAGACGATGAGAAAATTCAGGTCAGATAATATCTTAATGAATTTGTGGAAAAAATTGCGAGTTATAATAGTGAAAACCTACGACATTTTTTCGATACGTATGTCACATACTGTTACAGTTTCATGGTTTATTGTTGGTTTTTAATTAAATATAACTGCTGACAAAAAGGATTTCTGCTACCTTTTTCACTTTTATTTATTTTTATCACGACAAATAGACCAAATTGCGCATATAGGTAAAGTGTATCTCACTTTTTAGTAAGAAATGCATTGTTATAACAATTGAAAATTTTGTCTTTCTGTCATTGGTAAACTGTGTATTATATTGATCATAAAAAAATGTTTTTAAAATTCCTAAGAGTGCAATTTCAACGTTACTTAGTATATTTTCAGGTTAAATTTGTAAATGTGAGATTCATTTGATATCAAGTGGTTTTAATAAATTTTGTCGAAATAAAAACCATATTTAAAGTTCTATTGTGTCCTGCGTACCTAATGGGCGTTCATTTATGTTGCATCCCCAAAAGCGACTATAAATTAATTGGCGTGTTCAAAGTAAACATAGGAGGTGGAATGAGCAGTTGCGGTGGCGGCAAACTGGCTAGGTCGCTAGGTGTGGGATACAGAAGGGCGTTGAAACTGGGGTTTAATGTCACCGGGTCGTGACCTGCTCAAGTTCCTCCACTAAACCATATCGCCAATTTCAAATAAAAGAAAATGACGTCATTAGAGCCACAATGCACGTCTGGCAGCTTCCGATCCTCTGATAGAACTCTGAATATTTGAACAAAATGCACCGTGCATATCAAAGTCATACCAGAACTCTCGCATTCCTAAAATCGTTTAATGCTCTGTTAGTATTGAAGTTCCTGAATAATGTACTCCTATGTGAAATCCCGAGTTATTTCCATCGAATTAATTAATGTTATGTTCCGACCACTGAAAATTCTAAACGTAATCAAAGTCGCTATTTTGATGAATTATTTTATGAAGAAATGTTATGGCCATTTCAAATGAACCACACAAATAAGTATTGTTTCGGATAAATCAGATTTGAACTTGCCAATTAAATTTATAATGCAAAATCAATACTGGCTTGTCATCGCTCCGATGGGTTTAGCAGAATTACGCTTTTAGTTTAGTTTAATAAATAAACGGTTTGAGTTCTAATTCATTAGTGGTAAATCATTATGCAACTCACTTAACAAAATACTTAAAACTTAACTATCCAAAAAATAAGTTCATTTTAAAATTAGGAAAAAAATACATACAATACTTCTTTGTATTAAGTAACAATTGGGAACATCATTTCAACATTTTTACTTGAAATTGTTGACAACTTACAACTTACCAAAAAATTTAAAAAAAATTGAGAGCACACCCAATTTAAAAACGCCATTGGAAGCCACATTCTTTCTCGCCATAGTATGTATATTGTAAAGTCTGATTTTTTTTTTCAATAGAGATTCAATAAATAGTCTCAACGTTGGCACCACTAGCAAATTCATTTATGGGTTTTTGTGGAGCGTGCCGTTTTTGAGGGAATTATCACAATTGTGTAAAATGGGAGCTGTATTACCAGTGCGTATGTGTTGGGTATTTTGGAGTGCTTAATAGACATTTAGTAGAGTGCGATTTTTAAAATGTCGAGTTATTAGTGAGTACCAATGGGGGAAATAGAGAAAGCAATCGTGCCACAAGAATCCGGACTAAAGAGTTAGTCAACAATACTTTTTAATTAAAAAAAAATCGCATTAATTTTTTTTTTAATATTTTCAACTGATTTAACAACACATTAAACTGATTTTGTATTTCTTTATTTTCTGTAGGTCCTAAAGAAGCAGAGGCAAATTGATAATAAAGCAGCAGAAAAAGATGCCTTATAAAGTCAGTGCACTTTAATTTTTTATTGCGTGCAACAGTAAGTATTTACTAAATTAGAAATAAGAATAATTTTTCTTTCTCAAATTATTCTCTTTAAAAATTGAGTGAGTGCAAATTTACTTTAATAACAATTTTAAAGAAAACGTTTTAAAGAAACAGCAAGAACAATTCTAATAAATATTGTACAAATTTAATTTTTTTCCAAAATAAATGTTTGATTTTTTTAGTTAACTATCGTTACCTAATAAAACCAATTAACCAATTAAATTATTACAATAAAATAATAAGTCTGTGTCAACTTTGTTCAAGAGATTTTTAATAATTTCTTGATTAAACACAGTGTCTGACTAAAATTTTAATAACACTCTTTACAGCTTTGTTTGTTAATTCCCAAACAGGTTTATCATTTTTAATAAATGTTCTAATCCAGAAAAACATGTTCACTTTTAGTCTCATTTAATTAAAATGCTAGAAATAAAACGAAATGCATTTATTTATTGGCATACATAAAAAATCGTATCAGCAAAACGAAACTGATTTTCTCAATACATAAGCATGTCGGAACTACAATTCGTCGCTGTGATTTTAAATACGCGTTGGATTATTGTACGACAAAATTAACATAATTTCCATTAAAAAAATTCATCCGTGTATAAGCCTGACCGGATGTGGTTTTGTAGATTATTTAATATTTTTATCTCCGGATAAATATTTGGAAATTTCCAGTTAATGTTCTCCCAAAATTAATATTTTTCTAATTTTTATTTTTGAAAAAGTTTTTATTAATAAACTGATAAAAAATGTTTTCCCTTAACATAACAACCCATTAAAGAAACAAAACAGGTCATTCAAATTTTATGATTTTTTCATCCTCCTCACTATTCAATGTTTTGCGTTTTGTAATTGTATCTCTTGGCACATTTTTTATAGATTTTAGATATTCGAAATTTTAAATAAATACTGCTTTTGCCTTCACCTTCTTATAATAAAATATTAAAAATTGTCAATTAAAGAGCAGCCAAAACGTCAGTCAACTTCAGTTTCTACGTTTTTCTGCAGTAATATTTAATGAGACTGAAAAAGTTATAGATTTTACTTTCTCATCTCTTACTTACCTTATCAGAGTCTGTCGTATTGCCTGATCCAAACGACGTGAGGGAATTTCTGTCTAAATTCTCAACGCTTTCATCTAACGAATTGCACTCTTCCAAGTCTCTGTAAAAACAAAAAAAAGAAATATAAAAAAAACAGTAACATGAGTTATTGGAAAAATTACCGGCTGGACCTTTGACTGTGAGGTTTCAATTTAGCCGGACTCTTGGGTAAAGACAACGGTAAAGCGCCACTGAAGTAAGTTTCTTGGATAACTTCTCGAAGTTTCTTCACCCACAGTTGTTTCGTTTCAAGAGAGGAAGCTCTTAACACGATTCGGTAGTCCGAAATTGGGGCTCTTCCTGTCCAGACGGCAAACTTGCATTCGTCACCCTCCATGTGCTCGGTAACTCCCAACTCTGAAGTCTATAAGTAAACACAAGTTTAAATTTGAGATCTCTGGTTACTGTGTACTTACCATTAGCTTGTTCTTATAAATATATTTTACTTTCCCCGCAGAATCTTTAACCTCTTTAGTAAATAACAGGTACAATTCAAATAAGAAAATATGTCTTTCTCTCCCTTTCCTAATTAACTGTTTGGGGTCCCACACGCTAAAGGCATCTTGCAAAACGACTTCTCCGAGTTTATTTGAAGAGACATCACAGCCCTCGACGAGTGACAGATGCATGGCGTCGTTTGCTTTCTTTGGTACATTAAGCATTACTTCTAAGCCGTCCTGCAATTAACACAATTAAAATTACTCCAAACAAAATTATTCCAGCGCGTACTTTAATTTCTCCTTGTCCTTCGTTGCAACACGATTGAAGATCTTTCAACAACAGTTGATATTTGGTAATTCGCTGTACAGGTTTGATCAAATAAGCCGCAATTGGATGCTCCACCTTGTGTTTCTTTTGCAATTCCTCGAAATAGCCGCCTCCATGTTGTACCAAAAGACTGTTCGATTCTGGTTTGTTTTTACAGTAATGCACGTACATATCGAATTTCTGAGCCCAGGTTACAAAACAATGACCAACATCTTCAGGCATCGTTTCGTACTTTTCCAATTCCTTGAGAAATATCGAATTGTGGAAATTGTGTATTTCTTCGATGTTGCCGAAAATAATCTCGTCTTTTCCGTGAATGGCAGTGGGGCAATTGTTGCCTTGTCGCATGTCATTCAAGAAACATTTGATGCAGGTTTCAAGATCTTTCACGTAGGTTCGTTCGGTTTGGAGAAGTTCGGCCATAATGAATCTGGATTTCGCAAAAAATATGTCAATTAATTATTTACTGTTTATAAGAATGAGAATATTTACGGAAAACTAAAATATCCAATCTACAAAAATTAAAAACCTCTAAAGGTTGAATAGCAAAACACAAAAATTACATTTTCTGGTGCACACATTTTGTATTGGTATCAGATTCAAATTGCTTCTTTGAGCTTTCACCATACGGCATTTTTTGAGTTCAATTAGATCACGAAAATATATTTTGTGCTTTCTGTCTTAAAACTGGATGTTACTGACAAATATACTGACCAAAAACAGGTGTACCGATATGTGAAAATTACGAAATATTTATAAGAAAAATTATGAATATCTTTAAAAACAGAAAACTTAGATTAAATAATTGTGAATCTGATTAATACATATGACTATAAGCATAAAAGTAGCTATTTAATAAAGAAGACATTTTATAAGTAAGGCAACGAACGAAAAGTGTTGTTAACATGGTTGGGAACAGAATTTTTGATTTCAAGGCTGTGTTTGGTCAACTTCGAAGATAAACACAATCTAAAAGCCCCGTTTTTCGAAATGAGCGCTACGAAGGGGACACCTAGAAGGTGCCGTTTTATGGTTTCTCGTTTTGAAAACCGTGCGTGTTACAAAAAAAATGGTTAAAAACAAAATTAAATTTTATAAAATTACCTAGAAATCTTTATAGTTTTCGAGATTTCAGCTAGCAAATCTCACGCACTTTTAAAAAACACTTTTTTCTGTCTCACGTTGCAATAAGTAATAGTGCTTAAAGCCCAAGTTTATAGCAAAAATTATTGTGAAATTATACTGTAGGCTGTCGGTCTTTGCATCTCGTAGAAAACAGTCTTTTAATGCCTCCTCCAATAAAGTGAAGTTATGTTTCACTTCTTGCACGAAAACATTCAGTTTAGAAGAAAATTCTTACTTCTGTCTTCTCGTCGCCAATTTATATTGTTTGTAAGCACACAAGGTAGGTAGTCCTATTTCTATTTTAAAGTACCTTCAACGAAACGTAAGGTGCAAATTCTTCGTCACAATATTCACAATAGAGAGCACAGAACGCATAAAGGGCATATAGATAACATTTTCATTAAAAATTGAAATTATCATAATGAATGAATGAAAATCGGAATTAGCCAATTTCGCTATTTGAATGAAACTGGAAGTCTGAAAGTGATTGGTTTCTCCATGGTTACTCACATTATAATAATGGCCGACCTCAAACGAACCAATAACATCATTGCATTAACTTTTTGAATGAATACAAAAACTAAGGTGATTGGTTTTCCACGTTATTATAATGGCCGACTTTACACGGTCCAATCACAATGCGTACTTTTACAGTAATTCTTACGTTAATTCATTAATAAATAATTTTGAAGGGAGTGCCAAATTTGCTAGCGAATATCTCAAAAACTACCTATTTAAGATACAAAAACACGAGAATATTTTATAAGCTTTAATTTTGTCCCTTTTTTATAACATGTTTTGAGAATGTAATTGAAAAAAAAAAATAAGACAGCACTTTCTTAGAACTCCCTTGCGCCCCACTCACCAGGCATGAGTTGGGCCTTTTACTATGTTCACCTCCTAACTTCTTAAATACAGCTCCAAAGTCAAAAATTCTGCTTGTTTATGCATTGTTCAATTTGTTCGTCGAATGAACTGTAATATTACTTTATTTTTTGTCATTTGCTTTTTCTATGAAATTTGTACATACAAACAGAAGAATGTGTGTTGTTATTAGTTATTACTACCGTAATTATGATTCCGTTTGCTCTTTATCAGATGTTAAGATATTTGTGATTACAATTAATTCCTAAATTTTTCATTACATGTTTTAAGATAAATTGTTTCTGGTGTTTAAAATTTTCATTTTATAACTAAACTTTCCTCTATGTGTTGAAAATTCTTAATAGCAAAATACAAGATACGTGCATTTGGACATAGGAAGAGTTTCCATCATTAGCTTATGCAAAAATTATTTTTATAATCCTAAGTAATTTCATCTATTAGCGAAGACGTTGCAATTTAAATGGATCATGTTGGTCAATTTTTCCAAATTCTTTTACTTACTCTTTCCTGCGTGCAGATCTCCTCTTCTCCTCATTTAACTCTTTCAAATCCTTGGCCGCCGCTTCCTTCACCTTCGCCTCTAAGCTGGGATCCGAATTCCTATCAATAGACAGTTCCTTTTTCTCGCTCTCCTCCGCTTGAATTCCCAACGTATCCTCCAATTGCTGTCTATACTGCTCCATCCTTGAACTAAAGTCCTTATACCTATTATCCACCGCCGCCACCCATTGCTTAATCGAGCTCGCATGAGCATGTCCCTTCTCCACCAAACTATCCGCCAACTGTATCAACAATTTAACTCTCTCTCTTGTCTCTTTGGCAGTTCCCTTGAATTCGTTGTGTTCGCGAAGCAAACTCTCGGTTTCTTCAATGTTGTTTCCTAAATTTGTTGCATGTGTAGTCAAGTAGCATTCTCCAGTGTCGTGAATCCATTCAATTGCTTGTTTTGCAGAGCGTTCAAAGAGCACGAACTGCTGACACTGGTCGAGGCGTTTCTTGCGCTGCGTCCAATGCTCGAGAACTTTGTTCTCCTGACTGAGAAGTTTCTCCAAGATGCCTTTTACTCGAGTTTCGTGATTGCTAGTTGTGTTAGAGTAATTGTAAAATTGTAGACTGCGAGTTGTGTATTTTAGAAACGTCTCAGCTGTCCTTCGTGCCAATGTGCAAGCTTTGAGAAAAGCTTCCTTTTGTTCCTGGTGCTTGTTAATTAATTGCGAAATTGAAGTGGCTTTGTCTACGTTGGGTTGGCCTGTTGCACACCAATCCTCGTCTCGGCGGTATTCCCTTTCAAGACTATCCAACACCGAACAAACTTGTTCAGCCGTTTTGTAGAAATTCAAACTAGCAGTGACAAGCTTGTGTCTCTCTTCAGCACAAGTGACTAATTGTTGCCACCTCTTGGTAACCTCTTCTGATATCTCTCGAATACTTTGCGGGTCATAGTGATTAGCGTTGATAAGTGCATCGGCTCGGTACTTAACTTGCACCGCTGAAGTGTGAGTTTTCTCTATAGCAACTTGAAATTGCTCATGCTCCTTCTTCAATAATTCAGCATCAGCCAAACTATTAGGAATTGTAAAACTGGCCATCAGCATCGATTCTCCATTACGTATCCAGCTTATCACTTGATTGGCATCATTCTGAAACTGCCCCAACTGAATACACTGCTCCAGCTTAACCCTTTTCACTTCGGCCAAGTCCTCGAGATCAACCTCTCGGTCGTGCAAAAATTCCAACAAAACTTGCACACGAGTCTGGGCATTGTACTGAGCGTCAGCCATCACACAAATACCAGAATTTTCAAATACTTGGATCAGATCTTGGCCTTGTTGTAACACCTGATACGTTGTGTTTTGCATTTGACTGACGCTCTCATTGTGGAGACGAAGGAATTGTTCGGCTTTCGCAATATCTCGGGTCAATTCGCTGTGTTGAAGCTCTTCGGACCACATTTCGAGTTGCGAGGATACCTGAATTAAAGTATTGTGAATTTCAATTGGATTGCTTCGTTAATTTTATTTACCTCGAGAGCATCTCGCTCGAAAAGCCTCAATCTTAAACAAAGATCTAATCGGAGTTTGCGGGCGGCCCAAAGCTCCTCGAGATCGCTCCTTTGTTTCGCTAATCTATCAAGAGCTGATTCGACCGCTGATATCGAACCGGTTGAATCCATTTCACCGATTGACCTGAAACAGAAATATAAAATATCAATCAAAAACGGAAGTTTTAGGCAGAACATGTTCTTAATTTAATTGTTTTTACTTATTATGTGAGGTACTAAATCACCGTTATACCCGTTTACTATTCGCTAGTTCCTGGTTTAAAAGACAACTAACATTTCACATTTGAAATCGCAATTACGGAGAAGTCGCAAACTCTGTCAAAGCTTTTGTGAATAAATTCAAGTTGACTCTGTGGAAATTTACTACTTTATTGCATCATATATTTTTCAATGCAAACATTTGTTCGTACAAATTCAAAAAACAGACGATTAAATTCCGATGAGTGCACTCTGTTGACCAGACAAAATAAAACGTGCATCCCACGAGCCGAGTGACTTTAATCCACTACTTTTTTAATATACGAGTACCAGAACCAGTCGACGGGTTGGATGAATCATTCTGTTCTTTTATTTTTATACATCTATATCGTAGGTTCTAAATCGTAGATGTAAACAAATAAAAAACAGAAATAATTTGTGGTAAGAAAACGGATGGGAAGATTTTACACTACAATTAACTGTAATTTTATATTCAATAATACTTGATTCAAACTGCTGCAAACAATATCAATGAATGTCAATGATTAGATAATGTTCTTTGACTAAAACAATGAACTATTTTATAGTATATTATAATAATACTAGTTTATATGTGAATCGTTTTCGTAGAGACGGTTACTAGTTTACGTTGTTAAGCACATTTTTTCACGTTGTAATTGGTCCAGACATTTTACTATTTCTTGTTACCTAGACAACTTTAAAATTTCAGCGTGCTATAAAGGTCAAATTACGCACGCTGCAGCGTGTTTTAATTTAGGATTATGATGCAGGTATAATAAAAAATATTTTCAAAATCGCGTAAAAAATTAGTTTTTAAAAATTCAAATAAGTACATATTACTTATAGGAAAATACAAGTAAAACAAATAGATTTTACAACACAGTTCATAAAACGACATTAGAAAACTTTAGTGCCAGATTATTAAAAAATAGGACGAAAATGTTATCACATCTGTATTTCAGGATGTAGTAAGTACTCGTATGTCTATCTATAAAAAATATTATTATCCATTGTATGCTTAATTGATGTGGTGAAAAAGTAAACTTAACAGTACATTTTTGAATTAGTTAGTAATAAAAAGCTGTAAAATTTCAAATCATGAATAATAATTGTTATGAAATGAAACGACAAACGTTATGACAAACCTAATTAGGATTTACAGGTTCTAATTCCTCGAACATTTGATGAATGAGAATGAAGTAGGAAGTAGTCTCGACAAAGTTCATCTTCTCCTCTTATTAGTTACTCGAGTGTTACAAAGAAATCAGGATTCAACGCTTGTAAGATAATGATAGTGATTCCGTTAATCTTGCCATAAATAAATATATTTGTTCTCATCAATGAACGGAAAGAGAAAATAAATCCGCTACGACAAAATTTTATAATTTGCAAAATTTCTATTATAACTGGAATTAAACCAAATCGTGCGGTAATAAACGGTATTTGAACGTTACATTTCATGTAAAAAAATGCAACTTGTATTAAAGTCATTCACTTTTACACTGCAAGTTCAGTGGTGAAAGATCAAGTCTTTGTTCAATCAATTAATAACATAGCGTACCGATTCCCACAGACACTTGTACAATTTTAATTGAATGTCGTCGATTTACAGTCGTTAATTCGCGCACTGAACAAGAGTTACACGGTAATTTCGTAAAGAGAAGATAACACGTTTTAAGCATTACCTTTTTTATAATATACATTAAAATAGCTCTGGATTTATGGTTTACGTGCAAGAGTGTAAAGTAGAAAAGCTGCACAAATTGCACTTTTAATAAAGTAAAAAAGCTGTAAATTTTATTTTGTGACGGTCTTTAATAGCGGCTTCCTAAATCACGAATCATTAACAGTTTAATTAAAAGTTGTCCAAAACGACAAATTCAAATTAACATTTAATAGCAGCCAGAAACCCCACTGTCACGCTATATTAATTTGATTAAAAACAAAACGCTGTTTTTAATAAATAGTACGCTACGTTTAATTCTTAAGATCAGTTTGTTTACCTGATCTTGTAACCTACTTTTAACGGTTTTAAATTTAGAACGAAGAAAGTCGATATGCAAATTGGAACTTAATTAAAGATGTGAAAAAAATTAGTAAACTAACGAACATTGACGAACAAATGCTGTGATAATAAAAGTGTTATGGCAATCATAATGGTAAAGTACCGTTAAATACGTCGCCCCAAGACATCTCAATTATCTTGAGACAATATCCGTATCCAATAAAGACAGTGTTTACATATTGCGTTTACAAACCTATTCTTCTAACTATGTTACCCATTGTTAAGAATTTAAATTAAATCTAATATTTGTACTAAATTATAGCGAAATTTGAAAAAAAATAATGGAAAATGAAATGAAAACAAGATAATGCAACGCATATTTTCACAGGAAACCGATTTAATTTCCGGTTGGAAAATCTGTTTAGCTTTATCATCCATATTTACCTTTACTTAACAATATTTACTTTAAACTCTAAACAAATAAATTCATTTTTCTAAGTGGAAGTTAACCTACATTTGAGAAAATACATTTTCTCGGTTTTTACGATTTTGCCAAATAAAGACATTAATATTCATGCCTCATTTTTATAAACAGACAAGGGGAGAATATCTATGCCACGAGTGAGTTTTAGTATTTAGACTCCTTGTTGTTGTAACATATTGTAAAAGCACCACAAAGAATCTATTATTAAGACTGAAAAAATATACAGAAGCAATGCCTTTTACTTTTTATAGAACAGGACAAAAATGAATTACTTTTTTTAACTCGAAAATCTTACTTAACACCTATTTTAAAAATTTATATAAGTACGTAAGAATAGGTAAAGTTGACTTTTCTTTCTTCCTTCGAAAATAATTACAAAATTCTTGCTTTCGTTTTTAAGACAAAAGAAAATAGTTTGTCATTATTTTCTGGAAAGTCATTTTGGTTTCAAAAGACCTCACCCATTAGATTAACCCCAATTTTCAGTAATCATCATTTATGTAGAAAATGAATTATGTTTCTGAACACAGGTTACTCTATTATTTGCTAAATGTCACACGAAAAATTCTGACTTATGATTTTTAATGATTCAAACAATAGTAATCAGAATTAATTTTTACATTCGATCTATCAAGCATTTCACTTCAAATCGCATCAGCCCCACAAAGTAATCGAGCCGAAAACAAGCAGCAACTATTACGAAAAAAACAATTAAAGATCTGTCCAGATTAGGAATAATAATTTACCACCACCGGTATCCGATTATCCCAGTTTTTTCCCGTACGCCATGAATAAATTTGAAGGAGACACGCAACGCCGATCACAAGCGCCAAACACAATTTGCATTTTTAAGGATACATCAATCAGAATGCTTTGTTGCATTTACGTGTTTCGAATATTGACGAAAAATTGCGTTGAGAAGATATTCAATGGCCAAGTACTTATCGATGTATTGCAAAAAGCAACCAACAAAAGAAAGTTATACGCATTCAAGCATTGTTTTCTTTTATGGTTAAAAATTCGTTGTGCTTGAACCCATCTCGACAACTATCAACACAATTTACATAAGATAAAGACGGTTTTATGCAGATTAAATTCAATTTAGCTTCGGCGAAATTGCTTTTAATATTACAACATTGACAGGGCGACAGAGACGAGAATTCATTAAAAAATGTCCGAGCTAGGTGCTTTTTACTTTTATGGGTTTCAGAAATTATCTAAAAGTTCATTAGTAAAACCATCTCCGAAAGCGATTTTAAGCCTTCTCGTTCCTCTGAAGCATTAAAATTGGCACATTACACATGTCAGCGAGATGTTAATTATTTTATCTTAACTCGTGCAATTTTGTCGAAATTGAAAAAAATAATTTTTGTTTTATATGTTGTGCTAACCTTTTAAATAAGAGTGCAATTTTCTTTGCTTGTAAAAATAGCAATATTACTCAATTGTTCGTTTAGACAGAATAAAGGGATCTTACCTTAATTCCTGCAGCAGAGCTTCTCCTTGGGCGATGGTGGAGGCGCAAGCATCCAAGCTTTGATCCCTGTGTTGGGCGGTTTGTTCCAACAGCCTTTCGGTGGCTTCTAGGCTTTCAGCGATGCTTTCATCACTTTGCAATTCTTGTCTCAGGTCGTCGACCCAATTGCTAAGTTCCTTTTCGTGGGTGTAGAAGAGCACAGCGAGGTCTAATCGTCGACGTCTCTGTTCGACCCTTGTGGCAAATGAAGTAACGTGGGCCTCCAGCTCGTGAGCAACGGAATAGATTTCGTCCGGATCACATTCTCCGGTATGAGCCAATTCTTCTGCGGCTGCGAGGAGTTTATCGGCGTTAGTGTAGGTGTTCTGAAACAAAATAAAACGTCTATAAAGCTTTCTACGCCAAACAAAAAGCTATATCAAAAGCGATATCACCGCGACTTCGATTTAGTAAAGAGAAATTCGTAGTATACCCACAGGTGTCTTATCTATGCATGCAAGTGATTTATGAACCTTGGAGTTTTCAAAAAAATATATTTTCAAAAAAAGTACTGACGTCCCGACATCAAAACTATATTAATCAGCAAAAATAGCAACAACAAAGTTTCCTCAAACATTTAGAAAGTATAATTGTCCGTTACCCTCCATCATTTCAAAGCAGTAAATTGTTATTTTTTTTAATAGTACCCATTTGATCTCAAAAAAAAAAACAGTTTGAGTTTAAATGTTATTTCTTCGAAGATAGTTTTATCTCAAGTTATAATAATAGTCTGTTAAATATTCACCTTATAAATGGAGAGACATTTTAAATCTTTTCATAAGAACACGTTAAACTAATAAAAAAAAATATAACAATATTGTCAATGCTATTTACTTTTCAAAAATAAATACTTCTATTGCTTTCTTTAGTTTTTTAAAACAATCCGGTAATAAATTCAATATTCAAAAAAAAACTCTAATGACTACTACTTATTCCTAGATTATAAAATAGTAGAAATTTATTTTATCAATTGCAGTTATAAATTAAATCTGAAAAATACAAATTTGTTTACTTTATTATAAATTAGTGAAAAGTGTAAAAAATTAAGAGTTCTTTACCATAAACGTTGAAAGCTGCTTTTAGAAGCAAGTGCTCTTTGCCGGGTAGCAGCACCCTTCACTTTCAATCGTCAGCAATCGTTTATCTACTTATCCCAGTCTATGAAACTGATACCGTCATATATCTAAACGGTCGCATATGGCTTAGACGAGTTGAGGATTTATGAGATGGATTTAACCACAAGCAACCCCATTTTAAAAATATTGGATAGAACAAGCAACTTTTCATGTGTAACTCTTCCATAAGGGTGAATTTTGATAAGAAGAAGGCATACTAAAACACACACGACATCGTTCGGCACAAACTGTGTAGTAAAGTGAGATAAATCATTCGTAGCGACTATACGAACGTTGATTCAATTTTGGAAAAGTTGAAAGGTTTTTACAGTCTATTAACCGAGATTTGAAGAGGCTTAAGGCCATTTACGGACGTATTTCCTGGATTATGTTAGTGACATTCTCTTTGATTTAAAACAATAAGCAACGACAAGAATTTGTTTCTGGAAAACATTTGATGCTATATTATTTGCAAAACTTTCAAATAACAATCCGACGATGACAAATTAATTGGATACTTGAAAGAGAAGCGATTATAGTCAGAATGCATTTCTCCGACAATTGAAAGGAAGAAATTTAAGTTTCCATAAATCGGCATAACCATAAACGATTCATAAAAAGCAAGTTGCGACAACTCTCATTAATTTTCTTATTATTCGCATCCCTAATTAATTACAACGGCTTCAGAACAATGTGGGTTTGACAAGAGAACGTTAGCACAGAGAAAGACGATATGAACAGCAAACATCTTGATCGATAAAACTAGGGAAGTAGAATTAAGCGTCTTATTACCTTCTTCAGTCTCTTGAGAATATTCATCCTCATCAGCATAATGCGCGAGTTTGAGCCATAATTTTATTTTAAAAATATTCAATTAGATTAAGAATTTTTATAGCCAATATTCGTAATAACAGTTTTATTATCAATTCTTGCACAAAAGATACTCTCTTCTATTATATGCAAAAGAAGAGAATGCAGTAATTGATTTTCACGTCATTATCATGTGAGAATATCCCAAAACAAAATTACAAAAACATGAATTTGCACATTTGTTACATAATAAATCACGTCTAATCGTATTATCTTGAAGTTTTATAAAATTGGATGTATAAATAAATTTTACAAGATAAAAAACATGTGAGAGGACTAAGTTGTTCTTATCGTAGAGGAAGTGTAATTCTACCGCTGCACGAGGGATTTATTAAGACCCATTATAAATTCTTGGAAATTAGTCAACATCATTTTACACATTCAGTTAATGAAATTGTCCCACAACAGGCCTGAATGTTGACTGTAGTAGATCGTTCATTCCAAACAAAGAGAAAATTACAAACCATTTTAAAAATAAGATTTAAGGAATATTCAATTGTTCATAAAGCCAACAATTATTAATGTTGGATGTTCTTACATCCAATATTCGATGCGGAGAAAAGTAATTTTTTGATTCTTTCATGAATTCGATTATACCTACGGACTGTCCCAGTTAAGAAAGACTCCCTCCATTAAGCATCTTTATTTTATGGCTATTATACAGGCTGTCCCGAAAGTCGCGCACCTCCGTGACACTGTATCATCGGGCGGTGCCCTAGACAACAAGAAAAATGTCTAAAAAATCTATCTATAAAAATTCCGAAGTTATGAGAGTTTAAATTTTGCACTTTGACTATATTTATATCTGTTGGAAAAATAATTTACCAAGTTTTTTGGCTACAGGCTATTGGAAGAGGAAACAAAGAAGCTGTATCGTAAATTGTAACTCTGTTTAGTGTTATTTGTAGTTTTTATAGGCAATTACCAAATAATTGTAAAAAAACATACACAAGATCATGAGTATCATTAAATAGACATAAAAAATGTCAAATATCAAGAAATAAATGTCAATTTCTTTTGACAGATAGAATTTTTTAAACATTCTTTCAGTACTCTGGGGGACTACCCAATTACTCCCTTTCAAAGAGGTGCGCGCCTTTTGGACAGCCTGTATTTTAAAATTATTCCTCGTAAAAAAATCAAGTTTTCAAGTTTGGTCGGCCAAATTGTACAGCACTAGTTAAAACCAATGCATTTATAATAATGTTTACAACTTTGGTTGCAAAAAAAAAACTTCTTAAATAAAGAAAATCTACAAACATTGAAATAAAGTCACCTTTTTTTATTTAAAAGAGAGCAGAAACTGTTTTAGCACAATTACATTTTTTAAAAGAATGGTTAAATTAGTACCATCTGTATTCTACTTTAAATTAATTTAGTGTAGAAAACAAAAGCTTTAAAATATGTACATTTTTACAGTAAGATTCGATTCCTTTTTTATTTTAATTAGAGTAACTACGTACGAGTATGTATTTTAAAACTTTACTTGAAGATGCATCCTTTGCGAATCAGATGAAAAACAGTTGTGTAAGTTTGTATAGTTGCCATAAACAATGGTCACAAAAAGTTACAAAAAGAAAATACGTTATAGTTACAAAAAATTCAGCTCAATATAGATTTATAAAGACTAATCATTTTTTCGATAAATTTCCACCATTTTTTATTGAAAAATAGATGAGCTATTTTTTCCAAGCAAAGGTTAAATTTTTTCTATTATTTATGAAACATCCTGTATATTGATGATAAAATTATTAGGTACACTAAAATTTAATTTTGACAACAAAATTGTTATGCTTTAGTATTTCTTTTGAAAACCTCAATATCTCCAAATATTGTTAAATTTTTAGATATTTACGTGGTGGTTGGTCTAAATGATTTATTTTTCGGATTGTTGCTGTCGGAATGAATATCTTAAAATGCCAAGGATTATCAAGCGAGAAAATGTTACGGAAACGGGAGTGAAATATACACAGCAGTTAGCAATATTGATTGTGCTCGCTGGGTGGAGAAAGCGTCGGTTCCCCCAGGAGAGTTAGATCTGGATGAGAACTGTTGTCCAAGGTCAATGGCCAGCTGCCCTCGGTCATTTATCTTATCAAATTAGACATTTTTGAACAACTATGCTGATAAATTAAATTGTCAATTTTTTATGTTTGTATTTGGTCTAAATTGTGTAAATCCTTTGACAATATGTGTTGTTTGGCATAGCAATTCAAGCCATTAACAAGTGTTGACATATCTCGAATTGAATTAAAACAATACCGCCACATTAAATTACACAATAATGAATGCATGTATGCTTGTATGTATTTTCTAAATTTACATAACGTTACGATTGTACAAAAAGTTATAATTTGAAAGCAAGCTGCTATGTTGGTCAACAGCTCTGTTTAATTTAAAATTAATTGTTGTTAATCTAGAAAAGATAGAGATACAAAGTGTAATTAATATTTCAGAGTTGAGTTAAAACTTATCGAATGCAAAAGCTTGGTAATAAAGTTGGAAACAATTATCTCCTAATTTGAAACCTAATTAAAATATAATCATTGCTACATTTTTTTTTACAATCGATTTAAAAATGATTGGTCCACCAATAGCACAAATTGTGATCACAATAGAAAAATAAATACAGACATAAAAAATTACTCGCGATGAATCATCTCAATACAATTACGATAATCCGATCAAAAACGCCTCTAACGTGAACATCCTCGTAGTGGGATTGTAACACCCTCCAATCGAATCGTCTAGATCAACAAGCAGTTGCAGTAAATTGAATTATCGCTACATCATGAGAATGCACTTCTCATTGAAACTTTATCTACTTGCACACGATATTTCATTTCAGTTTTATATTTTGTACCCCTTGGCTCAAGAATTTACCAGAAAATTATTCTTTTAAAAGAGATCTCATGTTGAGGTTGAAAGTGAATTTTAAGTGGAAAACAAAATTAGTAAATCCCTTAAACCGACGAAGCGTAACGACTTTTAAAAGCTCGCGTTTATTTTCGAGGAGAATACGAAAAAAGCGTCCAATTTTCGAATGAGACGTGAAATTACTCGCATGCAAAGAACAAAACAGATGATGAAAGACTGAGTCTGTTTGTACGATACACAGGATCTAGCGAGGTACTCGTTTCAGAACTAATTAGAGGGTGCATTTCCGACATTCAAGCTTTACCCCAAGAATAACTCCAGTTACGCATGCGAGGGCTTTGAGTCGTGTTTGGATTAACAGAGAAAATGCTGTTTATCGAGATTTCAAAACGCATAAAGGAACTTTTTTGAGCGGTTTTGAGAGCATATCTTTTGTTGTTGCAGGAGAGTTGCACTAGAAGAGA